AAAAGGGGGGGGGGTGAGAAAAGGAAAATAAATGGTCACAGTGCATTGAATATTTGTACTTGATCTGTGCCTGGCAAAGGAATGATTACTTGCTGATTTCCTTTAGCATACTCTTATACCCACATAGTAATATAGTAAAGATTAGGAGCTTAAAATTGATGTGGTTCCTATTTCTCTCTTGAAGGTGGGAAGAAGAGCGCTACCCTGAAGGCATTAAGTGGAAGTTCCTAGAGCACAAAGGTCCTGTATTTGCTCCACCATATGAACCTCTGCCTGAAAATGTCAAGTTTTATTATGATGGTGAGTTAAGCTGTGTTTCCACTTACTGGGAAGAGAAATAAACATTCTCAGGGCATTCTTCCGGGGACTGAAGAGATGAGGAGGTGGTTTTGTTTTAGTGGTTAGCTTAAAAGAAGCTCCTCAACAGTTAAGTGAAGGAACGATCTGTGGAAGTAAAGTAACAGCCTGCTGAATTTGCTAACCGAGTTGACGCAGATGAACTAGTTCTCACTCTGTTATGGTGGTAAATCTCTCGGATTACTTAAGAGTATGAGAACGTCTTATGCCTGAGACTAGCAGCGTATAAACAATAGATTACATAACTGTAAATACTTCATCACCAGTCACCTTTAGGCTCCCTCTGTTTTCTTTAACCTTATGAATTACAACTTCCATCATTTGTGATTAAATTCATGATCATTTGGTGACATGAGTGGAATAAGACAATTGAATTTTGATACAGGTGATTAGGATCTTGTAGGAATGCATGGGATGACCCTGGCCTTAAGGACACTAAGTCATGGTCCCACTCATTAGCCATTGTGTGTGGTAGAACTAATTGATGTGGGATTCTAATATGCTGGGCTGACTGGTTGTTAGAGGCTCATGTGGAAGGGATTATATGATGTGATGCCTGCTGGAGAGCAGACTTGATGACCTGTGTGCTTCCTTTTAGTCCTGTGATCATGTTAAATGAAGGATCAAATTAACGCAGGATTGAATTAAGTGGGAGGCATTTGAATGGATGAAAATGTAATTTTTGGTGAAGGGGACATCCGTGGATGGAACTCTACCGCGAGCAACACGCTGTTGTCATGTGACATGACACAGTGTTTTTAAAGACTGAGAAATAGGTGGCATTCATTTTCAGCGACAATGTAGTGAAATAAACGTATTGCATCCCATTGAAGTCTGTCTCCAAGCCAGTAGCACAGTGGTCAGGGATGTCTACAGACTTCTTTCTTAGGGTTTGATAAGAACTTTATATTAAGTTGGATTTTTTTTTCTCTGAAGAATGTGTAATATCTCTCCTGTCTAGAGAAGGGGAGAGGTAAATTGCACTGTAGCTATTCCTTTGGTGCAGGCAGCAATAAGCTTCTCTCCTATCTAGCCGTATATTTTGTGAAACCTCTAGGAAGTGCAGGAATTTGTGCAACCTCTGTGTCTGTCATGGCAGAAATTCATCAATAGGCTCAACAGTTATGGGGTGGGCAGGGGGGTCTGGCAAATAAAGCATTATCACATAAGTCTTCCTTGAGAAACTAGGCAAAAAATCAGATGTCTGATTTACACAGCAGCTGCTGAGAGCCACTGTCTGTGCTCACAAAGCATTGTCTAATTTCAAGATTATCCTAGGATGATTTGTAGAGCCCGATAATCATGCTGTGGTTGGCCAGCCAGCTGCCAGGCTGCCGGCTCTCACTGGAGGAATCTGTCCCTTGCCTAGCAATTGCATTGCGGTGAGACTGCCTGTTTTCATCTAATGTAATGACTGCTGGAGCTATTGTTAGTGTCTACAATACCAGACTCGGTGAAGGAGCTTGAAATGCCAAAGCCATCTTTTAGGGCTTGACTATATGTTTGAGTTACGGTGGGTTAACGATATACTGCTCATACCTCAGAGGTGCCTTGAACTTGCATGTTGTTCTGTAGAGGGGACAAGGTAAGAGTGTAGATGGTGGTAGTCACATTTCAGTCATGGGCATGTGGTCTCTTCTGCTCATTATGTCCCCCAATTGCTCTCTGGTTTTCAGTTTTTAAGTCAGGTAACTAATATTTATGCCTCTGGAATAAATAGCTTTTTTTTCTTTAAATGTCCGGCCCTGTCACTAAGAGCCTTTTCAAACCGTTGTAAAAAAGTAGAAATTGAGTACAGTGAAATATATTCTAAAGTGATTAGATAAAGGTGACTGAGCCTTCAGCTATTTGGGAAGAAGATCAGTCGTTTTAGCCCCATAACGTGTTACTAACTCGACAGTGTCTTTCAAGCTAGACTTGCAGCCTAGAAAAACCGTTTCCCTTGCTGTCTCTCCCTTCCCCCATTTCCTGTTATAAGCAAACAAATGCTGTATTTTAGGTTGCAGCTTAAAAATTGGCAGAGTTACTGTTGGTTTAATTTAATTGTGGAATATTCTCAGATCACTGGGAGGACCTTTTGCTAAGTCCTGTTTTACGAGGGTTTATAGATCTTAAGGCTTTATATAGCTGACTCCCATGCTTTAATTTTGGAGATGATGCAACTTTTTGAAATGTGTAGTAAATCAAAAGTGTGGGGTGTTTTTTTTCCGAGAGCATAGAATCAACAGTAGTGTTTCTTGTATTGACTTTTGTGCAGTAAAATGGTTGTTAAAAAGTCCACAGGTGTTGACACTCTGCCAGGCCGTTGGGACTTTAAATATTTCTTGCAACTAGCTGGAGATGTGAGCTGCATGCAAAATCCTTCACAGGGATCTCTGGCACTTCATGTGTCATCAGGAATGCAATCTGGACCAGAAGGATGCTCGATAGGAATGTTAGATTTCAAATCCGCAGCTTCAGTGTTGCAGCAGCCTCTTTTCCCTTGTCTTCCCAAGTCTTCCCTTGCAGCAATTTCACCTTGTACTGCAGTCTTGCAGATAAGCTGAAATGTGACCTCTCCGTTCACTGAAAGCTCAGTCTTTCTTAAAAATTACTAGCTTTCGAGCCTGATTTGGATACACAGGAGTGCATTCCCACAGCAAAGGGAACGACTAGCAGAATCCTGACATGTTTCCCTGCAGTGAAGGGGAGTTGAATATTTGGCATTGCTTTCCAGCCTATCTGTGGTGTATACATAGGAAGGGCTCTTCCTGGCTAGAAATAGCTAAAGGCTAGAAGGGGTGTTCCAAAGCGGCGTCCCTCAGTGGGTAAAGAGGAATACAGAGGCTGTATTTCCTATATGTTTGTGTGCTGGAATATGAAATTTAAGAAAATCCCTTGCTTCTTTCACTTCAAACAGTTGTATCTTCCCAGGACTGTATGCGCTGCCGAGATGTTTCAGCATAGGGTTTCCTGCAGGAGGCCTTTTCCCCTTCCTGCCCTGCATCTCTCAGACCTATCTCATCAGATTGCTATTGCTTTTTTTAATGTTTAGATTCCAGAGGAAACTTTTTTCAAAATGTTTATCATGAAAGTCAAGCAATTGTGCTCCTCTGTTTCCGTTTTCCACCCAATTTGGTGTATTATGTAATGTTTTTAAGAAAAACTCTGTGGTGAAAATACAGTGTCCTTTAAGGTAGTTACTGTGGCCTGCTTCTGGCTTTAATTCCTGTTTACCATTTTCTTTAAAAAGAAAACCTTTCTTTGTAGGTAAAGTCATGAAGCTGAGCACCAAAGCAGAAGAAGTTGCCACATTCTTTGCAAAAATGCTTGATCACGAGTACACTACAAAGGAGATCTTCAGGAAAAACTTTTTCAAAGACTGGAGAAAGGTATACACGTAGTCCTGGGCTGCAGTGACTGCAGGCGCACGGCCCGTGTCTCCTCAGCGCTGGGCAGTGAAAAAGGGCTACTGTTCCATGCATAGAAAAGTCAGCTTATGGCAACTAAAACCTGCCTCAGACTGTAGCTGCAAGGTTTCCAGTCTGTCCTGTAGCTTCACCGGGAAGGACCCTATTGTAAATACCTTTCTAAACCAACAAAGTCAGACTTCTTCAACCAAATTTGCCTGTTACAGTCTGATGGGGTATAGCTGATCTGACTGTTACATGCCTTGTTGAAGAGCCAGCTTTACATCAGAAGGAAACCCCTTCCAAAGACCTAAACCTCAGAACTTCACCTCAGTCATCTTCTCAGCTGTAAGATCAAACCTTTAGATCAGTCAGTGCAGTTTTCCTCGATGGGTTACTGGATTTTTCTCCCTGTCCCTCAACAGTCCCAGCCACCTTTCAGGGCACTTGAGGAGGTGGTACAGTGTTGTCCAGTGCCCCAGGTCAAACTGCTGGAAGGCCAGCAGTCCATATGCTCTGCTGCTTGTCCTTTTCTCTTTGACCTTAGCTGTGGTGAGCGTGTGCAAGAATTTGGGGGTTCTTGGGGGTTTACTGTGAGAACCTGTCTGTTGTTCCCGATTAAATTGCCTGGGGTGGGGTAAGCTCTACTATGCATGAAAACTTACTATGTATGAAAACTTAAAGTGCTACTTTCTTTCTGCAAGGAAATGACCTCTGAAGAGAAGAGCACTATCACCAGCCTCAGCAAGTGTGACTTCACCCACATGAGCCAGTATTTCAAAGCTCAGTCGGAAGCTAGGAAACAGATGTCCAAGGAAGAGAAACAGGTACCAGAGGGAATTCTAGGATGCTTCTGGATTCTTAGCTGGCTTGTAAACATCTTTGTATAATTACTCCTCTGCCTGCCTTGCTATGTATAAGTCAGTGTTTGCTAGGTTTCAAATTATACTTCCATGTTAACTGTAGGAGTCTTTACTGTGCAGCCAGGGTAGGGCAAGCACTGTGTTTACAGCTGAATCTTCATCCTGACTTAAAATGATATTGATAGGGCTAAGGCTCCTGATGTTGCTTACGTAAATAAAGAGAATCAGAGGTGCTACCTCTGTGGATAGCCTTGGTCCCTGGCCAGGAATGAGCAGTGGGTAGTCAGTTAAGGATAGATTTTCATTTTAGAAGCTCCTTGGGTTTGGAGGGTGGAATTGGGGATGGTGGAAGGGATGCAGCAATGACATCAGTGAATAAAACTAGAGAAAAATCTTAAATATCAGGTAATGCAGTTTCCTGAATAAAAAACAAATTTTATTTTCCAGTAGCATGGCTACAGTGGCTTGTGGGGAGAGAATTAAATAGTTTTTAGATGACTGAGACTTACTGCAATGAAAGTTAGAAACTTGCCCCAAGTTCACAGTTGATCTTTTGTAACGCTACAGTAATTGTCCTTTGAGTAAGGGGCCTGGTAGCTTGGGAAGTGTGGCCTTTGGGGTCAGAGGAGTCCCACCCAAAATAGAGAGCCCATGTCTTACTGTTGTTTCCATGTGATAAATGTGGGTGAGCCTTTCCCAGTTCCAGTCCATGGTAGCTATTGCAATGGAGAAGTGGCGTTTTCTGTTAGTTTCTTAGCTGGCGCAGCAGTGCTGTCTATGGGTCAGATGTTTTCTTTTGAGCGGCAATGTTTTTATTTTTCCTTCTATATAATTAGAGTTCAGGCACAGAAGTATGCAGTGAAATCTCAGCACATTTTTACTTAGGAGACTGTGTTCTGCTTATGAGACCATTTGCTGACACAGGCTTGACATGCGGCAGACTGGAGACATTCCTCCGCCTGCTTTGCAATACTGAGTTCAAACACAGAAGTCTGGGGGTTTATGTATAAACAACAAGATGTAAAGTCCAGTGGATGTCAAATGTGGAATATAGACTATAAAGCAGCAGTACTGTGCTGGGGCTGCCTTTGTAGCTGTGGTATGTAGATAGAGGTAAAAGCCTCTATTGTGGCAAAATTGTAGCTGTCTTCACCAGTCCTAATCTGTTTCCCTCAAATACAAGTTTTAAGAGAGTTTTTGCACATTCTTTCCACTTTCTTTGTGCTGCTTGCATTTTATGAATGCTTTTCTTGACAATCTGCTGTTCTGTGTGTGGATACAGCATGTGGCATGATGGGGATCTGGTTTTGAGTTGGGTCTCCAGCATTAGTGTGGTGCAAATATGAATTTTTTTAAGTGTTGGTGTTTAAAGATAGTGTGTGGTGCCAAGTATAGCATATGATCTTTGCTTTTGGCTTTTTCCAGAAAATCAAAGAGGAGAATGAGCGGCTATTGAAGGAATATGGTTACTGTGTGATGGACAACCACAAGGAGAGGATTGCCAACTTTAAGATTGAACCCCCAGGTCTCTTCCGAGGTCGTGGGAACCATCCCAAAATGGGCATGTTGAAGAGACGCATCATGCCAGAAGACATCATCATCAACTGCAGCAAGTGAGCACTGGGTGCTTCGCATCTTGGCTTTGCTTTCAAGATAGGATAACTTCTTTTTTAAAATCCTATACAGATTGATGTTCAAGCATGTAGAAATACACATGCTGCTTATTTTCTTATATGGATAAGCAACTTGTTCAGTCTTTGCTTGTATGACTAAGGCTGTCACGGGTTTCGTGTAGAACTTTGTCAACGTATTTTCTTCCTCGTGCCTACAGCCACTATCTGCTTAAGCAGTCTTTCCTGCTAGTATTGCCAGAAATTTATTTTCTTCTAAGTAGGTTGCCCTACTTTGTTGTCTTTGATATCGAAGGCTAAGGTTTGGTGGGCTTCCTCTTCAGTCTTGTCCTAGTAAGTGTCCACATTATTGCAGTATCGCAAATCAAGGCTGGTCCTAGCAGTATGTGTTCCCACCAGTAGTATAATTCTTTGGCAGATGCGTGTTGATAGTAGTTACATTTCTGATCTTTGTTCAGTTTGATTCACTTGATTTCCTGCTTGTGAAATAGGTATTTTATGTTGCCTCAGTTTCTTTCCCTCTGCTTTCTTTGTGTGATGGTCTTTATTACTTCCACGTTATCAAAATAGAGAAAAAGTATCTTTGAATAGTTTTTATTTGCTTTTTTGTAATTCTCCGCAGGGATTCCAAGATCCCTCCCCCTCCACCAGGACACAAATGGAAGGAGGTCCGGCATGACAACAAGGTTACCTGGCTGGTGTCATGGACTGAGAACATCCAAGGCTCCATCAAATACATCATGTTGAACCCTAGCTCAAGGATTAAGGTAAAGATCTAGGAAAAAAACATAAAATCTTACTGGTCATGTCTCCAAGAAGCAAATGTAACTGTTGGCCAGGAGAGAGGGAGGAAGTAAAGCTGTCTTGTTATTTCATCCTACACTGATGACATTGTGTCATTCCTAGTAGGAATCCTTTACTCTGTCTGAACTTAAAAGGAAGCAATTTATGCGAGAACAGACTTGCTCTGGCAGATATTTTACCTACTTTTGCCCTAACTTCCCCTGCCTGATCATGTAGTGAAGTTCTAATCATGGGTTGCTAATTAGTCAATTGTAAAATTAAAATCGCGGCCAGGCTACTGACTGAGAAGGCTGGTAAAGAGCCCATGACTAACGGAAAACAAACCCCACTGTGGGTGCAAATAACCAGTCAATGCATCAATTCCACAAAAGCAATGATAAACCTATTAAGATAAGTAGCCTTCAGTTTCAGGGGTAGGATTTAAGTTCTTCTCATGAAGTCTTTTTTAAGAGATTTATTTTTCCTGGATTGGAAGCGAGGGGTTTGTCCTACAAGTATAGGGGAAAATCGCTGTTCTTTGTGAATTCATGCCCTCTTTTTGCCATGGCTTGAATATATAATAATGATGATGAACTGTTGATGTTGCTTTTACGTTTTATGGGTGTTTAATTACACAGCTGAAAGAACATAAGTGTCATATGAATAAAGCAGAGGAAACCATTTATGTGTTGAGAAGCATGGAAGACATAGTATCTTTTGTGTCTTTATAGTCGCTTCCGTGGAAGCGTTTAATATCATGGAAATCTGAATTACCTACAGCTGTGTGGTAGCATAGTTTGATGCTGAGCTGTTCAGCAGCAAAATCTCAGTGCTTCGGTACAATGAGACCACTTGCCACACACAGACTTGCAAAGCCTTGAGATGCAGATTGGAACGGGTCCTTTGCCTGCTTTCTGATGCTGACTCTATTCCAACTTTCTCTGCAGGGTGAGAAGGACTGGCAGAAGTATGAGACAGCTCGGAGGTTGAAGAAGTGCGTAGATAAAATCCGAAATCAATATCGAGAAGACTGGAAATCCAAAGAGATGAAAGTACGGCAGAGGGCTGTGGCGCTGTACTTCATTGATAAGGTAAGGCTCATTCCCCAGCATGCTCTTACCTTTCCTGTCCTGCTCAGGAATGCTGTGTGTCTGTTACTAAGGCAGAATTGAGCCCTGTTACTAAGGTATCCTGAGACTTCCTGGTGGGCAGGCTCCCGTCTCCTTTTCCTTCCCATTACCTGGAATCCAGAGCAATAAACTATTGTACTGAATGTGGCTATTTCAGGCAGCATTGTTTTCATTCAGGCAAAATTCACAACCCATTTCCAGAATTGCCCAGTTGTATTACTGGGAAGTTTGTGTGGGCCTTTTGTCTCCAGCTGTTTCAGTTTTCCTGCTGGTTTGTCACCTCTTTAGTTTGAGGTTGCAGTCATGAGGCTTCATAATTATGCTAATTTTTTCACCACAGCATAAAGAAAATTGCAGTTGCATTGATGCATTTAAAGCTACTTAAAACCAGTTCCCAGAGAGCTGTTGCCCTGGTAGCATATGGTGTCTTGACTAACTAAATTAACAGGTTTTGTTCAAAATGGTTTGGTGTAAACCAGGGAACTTTGATTTGGATAAATGTAGTTTCATATGAACACTGAAGGTTTTTCTTCAAAAATCAGAAATTGGTTTAGCCAGTACTGTTAAAACATACTTTTAGGCAGCCAAATATAGTCTTTATGTTATTTCTATAACCCAAAGTGTCCTATGTGCTATTTAAAGTGTATATATTTAGCATTGCAGTGAAGAGGTAGGATCGTGAGCAACTGAACTTTGATTTTTTTTGTATCAAGTTGAGTTCACATGGAAGTCAGTTTGATTTTAAAAAATATCAAATGTTTTGAAATGGATTTCCTTTAGTCGGAACTGTCTTACAGTTTGAGTTACCTAATGAGTGAAAGTTGGTAAAAAAATCTTGCTTTAAACTTCTCTTAATAAAATTAGGTTTTTCTAGTAGATTTGTGACCTTAGCATAGGGTTAAAACAGATTTAAAGAGAACTTAAGGTTGTTTTTATTAGAATTTTGTAAGTGTCAATTTTATCCACTCAAATGCATTTTTTCCCTTTCTCTTCTATGGACACTACTGATTATAGGCCAGGTCTGAAAGTTTCCAGCATCTATACATATACTGGGATGGTTTGAAATGCTTACCTTTCTTGTCTTGATTTAAATGTAGCTTGCCCTGAGAGCTGGTAATGAAAAAGAAGAAGGAGAGACGGCTGATACCGTGGGCTGCTGCTCTCTGAGAGTAGAACACATCAAGCTGCATCCTGAACTGGACGGCCAGGAATACGTGGTTGAGTTTGACTTCCTCGGAAAAGACTCCATCCGATACTACAACAAAGTCCCTGTTGAGAAGAGGGTAAGGCATCTCCACAAACACATACAGATGGAATTGCAGAAAAGTGTGGTTAACCTGGTTTTGGTGGCAGTAACAGTGTTTTGTCACCGGTCAGATACCTAGCCAGAAAATAAGTTAGTTAATGTTCTTGCCTTTTTATTGGCAGTGCCATGGAAGATAAGGCTGCTGGGGGTGCGACATAACCCAGCAGCTGAGATATTTAAACATCTGGCTTTGGGCAACGTGGTCTAGTGGAGAGTGTCCCTGCCCGCAGCAGGGGGGTTGGAACTAGATGATCTTTAAGGTCCCTTCCAACCCAAACCATTCTATGATTCCCGGTGGTCTCAGTGTCAAGCGTTGGCATAACATAACTCTTAACGGCTGTGTTAGATTAGTTTCTTGGTCAGCAGAGTTGTTTTTGTCACCTGTAGATGGTAGAGTTCTAGGCCCATATGACAAGTAATAGCATGAAAAGTTCTGAAATACAGTGCTGGACGGCATTGTTAGAGTAGCAGTTCAGCTTGGGCTTTGACAATACTAGCTTCTCTGTCACAGTGGTTTTGCTCATGTCAGAGCTGAGCCCTCACTGGGGTAGGTCTAGATCTTGGGTGCTCCAGAGCATACAAAGTGGGTGCACTGATACTTCTGGCCTATGAACTAACCAAGACTTCTTTCTTAGGCAATGTTAATTCCTTTATTTCTTTGTTAACCACCAGTTTCAAATCTGCTGTGATCTTGACCTCATTCCAGAATAAATCCCCACCTAGCAGTGTGAACTTGGAGGGCACTATCCAAAAATACTTGGTTTTGTGGGTGTGATAGCTTTGCATCTGGCCCACAGCTCTGCACAATATTTTAGATACCACATGTATAATACTGCGGTAATTGTAATGACATTCAGCAGTAAATGTTGTCCTCTTGGGGAACAAAATAACTGCAAAAAACCCCAAACTATGGCTGCTGTATTCTTATTTCCTTGTTTAAAGATGACGACATTTTTCCAGTTTAAATTTACTGGTGTTGGTATCTCTTGGTGTCTTTTCGGTGCTTACAATGGGGAAGTGATTATTGAGGAACTGGAAATCTTTGTATATTAGGTGTCTATAAAAGAAAAATGTATGTTGTTGAGAAGCTGGTAACTGGGGATTTGGAGCACACAGAGCTGGGATTTGTGGTCTCTGTATAATCAAAGATGCTTTGATTATTCTCCCTACCCCAGTGAGACTTGTTTAGGATGGAACTGTATGAAACTTTTAATGCAGCAATGAGGAGGACTGTTATGGTAGCTTCACTCTCAGGGGTCTCTCTGGTTGGAGTAATGATGGAGAGTAAGGGAAAGGTGGAAGCATTGGGGTCTCTTTCTCTGTTAGACAGGTATGCCAGAGTAGAATCAGCCCTCCTGCAATCTTGATCTAAAGGATGGAGATAAAGGGCCTAGGACTTCTGTTGCTGGGGAGGAACCTTCAATACAAGTGTTGTATTGAGAGATGGGTCTTTGCCTGCTGGGAAGTAACGTCCAGCATTGTCACTGTTGCCTGAAAACAGTTTAAGTGGCTCCCTGGCAGTGTTGCTTTCTTATGTATTACTGCTACCCAGCACTGTCTGGTCTGTGTACTTGAAGTGACTGGTTTTCTTTTCCTGCAGGTGTTCAAGAATCTTCAGCTGTTCATGGAGAACAAGCAGCCTGAGGATGACCTCTTTGACCGCCTCAATGTAAGCACATAGTTAATGGTGAGGGATGGTGGTAGAGCACCATGAACAGGCTCACTCTGCACCAGGCAGTAACAGCTGCTCTGTTCTAGAAATGGTTTCAGTGGCAATTTTCTTCCAGAGCTGGCCTGAGGGCCCTGAAAGCATTGAGAGTCTGTCTGGTGTCTGTATTGTCCACTGTGCCCACAGGTTCCTGAAGCGATGGGCTTTGTTTCTGGTGAGCCTGGCTGGCTCTGACTTGAGGAGGTTTTTTCCAGAGTTCAGAGAAGGTGATTGTGTGAGGTGACAGATTTTCAGATGCCATCCCCATCTGCACATTTGGCTCTATGGGAGCACTGTGGTGGTTCAGGCACCTTCCCTGGGACAGGCAGATTTCTACCTGTTGGGGACCAAAACCTCTCCACTGAAGACGAGTTTTTTGGCCAACTGTGGTACTTAACACCAATCTAATTCTTGTCGGTTCTTTGTTCACTTTTCATGTGGTTTCAGTAATGTTGTGGCCATTCTGTTGTGGTCAGGTCCGAGTACACTAGACTTCAGCTGTGAGCTGTATGTCTTCGTCAGCTGTGTGTCCAGAAATGTCACAAATGCTGTGGAAAATTCTAGTGCTAACTGTCATCTCCTTTCTGCTTCCTTAGACCAGTATCTTAAATAAACACCTTCAAGACCTTATGGAGGGACTGACAGCCAAGGTATTCCGTACTTACAATGCCTCCATCACGCTACAGCAGCAGCTCAAGGAGCTCACTAATCGTAAGTCTCTTCCTTGAAACGTGAGGGGAATAGATCTTATCGGGCAATACAGACCTGGTTTCCTTGGCTTAGCCATAAGGCTTGTATCTGTACACCACTTCCTCATTGCAGTGCTCCCAGTGCAAATGTTGGACAGCTGAGCTCTGACCAAAAATCTGCTGCCAGACAATCTTTTGGGGTAGCTGAGCAAGCCTAGCACTGGGGCGGGCAGAGCTGACTTGTGAGCATACCAAGGTGTGCCTGCTAGTTTTTGCCTGTTCTTTACCAAATCTCTTCTTTGCCCTCTGTTTATTGTAAAGTGCTACAGGTGGCAGGCAAGCCAGATGCTTCTGTAACAACTCCATGTTTCTCGGCAGCTCATTCACAACCTCTGTCGAGCGCTGCTAGCTCTCACTTTAACAACTTTACAAAGTGGGCACATTGGATCTGTGAGGTCCAACAGTGTCTTGAGCAGTATGGTCCTGCTGTCCTCTGCTCTGAGCATGGATGTTCTTCCCCTCTTTTGAGTGGCAAATGCTGTCTTGTTGCTATCAAAGAAACCATCCCAGAAAGTTAGGGCCCAGGATGGAAGTGGTCAAGCTGTTACGACTGTAATTAGACTGCAGTGCTGAGACTGGCCCATCTGAGGGGCAAGTCAGCTCTGCAGTGACTGAGCTTGCAGAGTCGGTGGGACACTGCTGGGGCTGCACAGCCCTGGAGAACCCACTTGTTCACCACTATATTGTACTTTGCAGCGGACGACAACATCCCAGCAAAGATCCTTTCCTATAACCGTGCCAACAGAGCGGTTGCCATTTTGTGTAACCACCAGAGGGCTCCGCCGAAGACCTTCGAGAAGTCCATGATGAACCTGCAGAGCAAGGTACCCCCACCCTTGCCCAGCTCTTGGGTTGGGCCAGGGCTCCAAGTGCCACGTCTCGGGAGTCACGTTTCCTTTCACTTGGGGTGAAATGGAAGCAGAGCCTGCTTTTCAGAGATGGGCCTGCTTGGCGGGTAGTAGTGAGCTGAAAGGGACACCGTTCAGTTTGAGTCATCCTTTACTTGTAAAGACCAAGACCAGACCCTTTTTATCTGCCCTTCATCCCGTAGCTATGTGTACTGCTGCCTGAGCTTCTGAGCAGCAGTCTCTATGATTTGTCCCCTAAAGAACCCAGAGTGGGCATCCACTCCTGTTGCGTGAATCCCAGGCTGCTGTCGGTGCAGCCTGTGTACGTGGTACGTTATGCCCCTCTGACTTGACCTCTTCCTTTGCAGATTGTTTCTGGTGAAGGCCATGAGGTCCAAAGGGGTTAGGTCTGTTCCTGGTCTGGCTTTAGAGTAACCTTCACAATAAGGACTTCTGGTTTGGCACTGTAGTGTCCCCTGCTTCTGTAACACCTAACATGGCTGTCTTCACCCTAGATCTTAGAGCTTGGGGGATATTTAAGGGGAATGGTTGAACAGGGGCTGCAAAATGAATGCTAAATCTCCCTGAATCTGAAACTTACTGGACAAGAACTGCCTGAAGCCTTAATAGCTTTCAGCCTGTAGGATTTGGG